TTTTTTTGAGTTGGAGTCTCACTCTGTCGCCCAGACTGGAATGCAGTGGCCGCTCCCAGCCACCGCAGCCTCGACCTGCTGGGCTCCGGCGATGCTTCCGCCTCAGCCTTCCGAGTAGCTGGAATTACAGGCGCGTACTACCACGCCCGGCTGATTTTTTGATTTATTGTAGAGATGAGGTCTTGCCTGCCCAGGTGGGTCCCGAACCCGCGGGCTCAGGCAATCTACTCACCTCAGCCTCCCAAAGGTGCGGGATTACAGGCTGAGCCACTGAACCTGGCTGTAAATTCTCATTCTTAATTATGGGATTGAAGTTCAGCCTTGAATAGTATTCAAACTGATGGTTTCAACTCCGCACTTGTAGTGACTTAGACCAACTCTAATTCCCAAATACAATCAACTTTAATTTGCTTTATTTCATATAATATGTCACCTGTGGGGAGAAGGCATTTTTGATAAACCCTAGATACTCAACGAATCTGAGATGATTGAGAGTCCTTAAATCTGTATTCCAGTTATGTGAAGTGTTCTGATAGAGATGAAGGGTCTGTGTAATGAAGTTCCAAGATCTGGAACTTTGGAACCAGATCTTGTTGCTTAACCAGACTTGCATAAGAGATCCAGAAATGAAAGCTGGATCAGAAGACCCAAGACTGTTTTGAGCAAAGTACGTAAGGGGCAATTAAGAAAGCTTTAACTGTTAGAGGATAGATATGGCATTATTCATTAATGCCAGGAGAAAATATAGTCTAGAGCAGAGAAAATATATATTTATATCTATGAAATATATATCTATGTAAAAATATTTAAAAATAAATATTTTAAAATATATATGAATAAAATATATAAAAACATGTTTATATGTAACTATATAGAGCAGAGAAAATAGCTAGTAGACAGGTGGCAATGTCTGGAGACATTTTTGGTTTTCACAACTGGTGTGAAAGGATGGAGCACTGGCATGTGCTGCTGATTGGTAGGATGTTTAGATACTGCTGAACATCCTGCCATACACAGGACACACAGAATTATCTGGCCCCAGATGTCAGTAGTGCTAAGGTTAAGAAACTCTGGCCTTGAGAACTCTAGTTATCTTTTACAGATGAGATCTTAGGACCCAGTCTGAGCTTTATAGAAGATCAGCTACAGATCACCAAAACAAAAAGCACTTAAGTTTTTTGTGTTACTGCTAAAGCAACTTTGTAGAATGGATTTCATCATTTCAGTGAACATTACCAAAAAAATTTTTTTAAAATCACAACTTCAAGAACATTCTAACTCACTGTAATGGCTTTGTTACAGAATAATAGGGGAAAAGGCTCTTATGTACTTTAAAAACTATTTTTCAGTGTGATAATAACAAATTCATTCTCACCACTTTCCACATCCTGGGAAAATACAAAAAGATATTACTTGATAGTTGAACAATGCACTGTAATTTAAAAACAAAAAAATACATATATACATGTACATGTATGTGTGTACATATAGACGTGTGTATATGTGTGTGTGTGTGTGTGTGTGTGTGTGTGTGTGTAATCTTTGATTTTCCTAATAAGCAGGGAAGGAAGGTAGGATAGGTATGCTTATTCCCATTTTACAGATGAGGAAATGGAGTCTCAGAGAAGTTAAATGGCTTGCTCCAAGATCATACAGCTACCTGATAGCTACCTGATAGGTACAGAAACCCAGGTCCTCTGACCTGAGCCTTTATGCTTTCTCCACATGTGTTCCATGTATTGATTTTCAGCATCATTTGTATTCAACCTACCATAATACAAATTCAAAACAAATAATTCTGAGCACTCTAAGTTTTTTGTTGCTGCTATGGACACATTAAGAAGTATGGGAAGTAACTTGCTGTAGGCATTTTGGACCCAGGAAAAAGGGCTGGCAAGAGTGAAGACTGATTTCTAATCTGTATCTGTTGCTTTATGACTGTCACTTTTTATGACTGTCAGCAAGTCAGAGAACCTCTCTGTGTTAATTTGCCCATCTCTCTTAAATGCTTATGGTGATAATGTGGCCTGAAACCTGTGGAGGCTATTTTAAAAACCATAATGGTTTCCAATTTCTGCAAAAAGCAGTATAAGAAAAAAAGGAAGAGAAACATTAAAAAAAAAAACCCATGATGATCTATTTAAGTGTTTTAAAATTAAGTTTATTTCCTTAAAGTGTGCTTATGTGTTCAAGTCACTGGCCATACACTAATGGCAGTCCACTGATTTAATAATTATTATTTTTTTAGTCAAAGTCTTGCTCTGTCACCTAGACTAGATCATAGCTTACTGCAGCCTCAAACTTCTGAGCTCAAGTAATGCTCTTGCCTTAGTCTCCTGAGTAGCTGGGCCTTGACCTCTTGGGCTCAAGTGATCCTCCACCTCAGTCTCTCGAGTAACTGGGACTATAATACCATGTCCACCTAGTTTTTTTTTTTTTTCACTATGTTATCCAAGCTGGTCTTGAACTCGTGGACTCAAGTGATCCTCCCCTCTCGGCTTCCCAGAGTGCTATAATTACAGGAATGAGCCACTGCACCCAGCCTTGGCTAATTTTTTAAAATATTTTTTTGTAGAGACAGCGTTTTGCTATGTTGTCCAGACTAGTCTCAAACTCGTACTCTAAAGTGATCTTCCCACCTTGGCATCTAATCTGAGGTCCCAGTGGCCTAATTTTTGAAGACTGTGAACACGCTAATGATGTTCTTCATAACTTGTTCGTAACTTTAACTCACAAGTTGAAGTTTTTTTTGTTGTTGTTGTTGCTCTTTCTTTTTGGGTTGAAGTTTTTTATCTATCAATTAAAAGAAGAGAGGGAGGGAGGTGTTTTAGTTTATAATCTAAAGGCAAATTGTCAAAATAATCAAATTGCAAAGAAGAAAATTAGACTAACATTAGGAACAGCGTGGCAGAGAGCCTTTGAATATGTGAGAACCACCCTTTCATTAAAAACAAAACAGGTCATTATGTTAAGTGAAATAAGCCAGGCCAAGTGTAGTAGCTCATGCCTTAATTAGGCAGGAGGTTCACTTGAGCCTGGGAGTTTGAGACCAGCCTGGGCAACATAGTGAGAGCCCATCTCTAAAAACAAGCAACAAACAAACAAAAGAAAAAATTAAAAGTTTAGCCAGGTATAGTGGTGTGCCGTAGTCCTAGCTACTCAGGAGACAGAGGCAGGAGGACTCTTGAGCCCAGGAGATCCAGGCTGCAGTAAACTATGTACTCCAGCCTGGGTGACAGATTGAGACCCTGCATAAAAAAAGAGACAAGCCGGCTCGGTGGCTCAGCCTGTAATCCCGCGCCTTTTGGAGGCTGAGGTGAGTGGATTGCCTGAGCCCGCGGGTTCCAGACCCGCCTGGGCGCGAGACCTCATCTCTACAATAAATCAAAAAATCAGCCAGGCATGGTAGCGCATGCCTGTAATTCCAGCTACTGGGAAGGCTGAGATGGAAGGTTCGCCGGAGCCCAGCAGGTCGAGGCTGCGGTGGCCAGGAGCGGCCACTGCACTCCAGTCTGGGCGACAGAGTGAGACTCCAACTCAAAAAAAAAAAAAGAGACAAATTTTGCATGTTTTTATTCATATGTGAGAGCTAAAAAAGTTGATATCATGGAAATAGAGAGTAGAATGATAGTTGCTAGAGGCTAGGACAGTTGGGGAAGCAGGATGAAGAAAAGGTTAATGGCACAAACAGAGTTTGGTAGAAGAATAAGTTCTAGCATTTGATAGCATAGTAGGGTGACTAAAATTAATAATTTGGTGGGACATGGTAGCTCACACCTATAATCCTCGCACTTTGAGAGGCGAGAGGATTACCTGAGCCTACTGGTTCGAGACCAGCCTGGGCAACTTGGTGAGACCTCAACTCTACAATAAATCAAAGAATTAGCCAGGTGTGGTGGCATGCGCCTGTATTTCCAGCAACTTGGAAGGCTGAGGCGGAAAGATCACCTGAGCCCAGCAGGTCGAGGCTGTGGTAGCCGTGAGCGTGCCACTGTACTCTGGCCTGGGCAACAGAGTGAGACTCTGACTCAAATAAATAAATAAATTTCAAATAATTTATTATATGTTTCAAAATGGCTAGAAGAGAGGATTTGAAATGTTCCCAACACAAAGAAATGATAAGTGTTTGAGGCGATGTATATCCTGAATACCCTGATTTATCATTACACATGTGTGCGTATTTCTTTTTTTTTTCTTTTGAGTTGGAGTCTCACTCTGTCGCCCAGACTGGAGTGCAGTGGCTGTTCCCGGCCACCGCAGCCTCTACCTGCTGGGCTCCGGCGATCCTTCCGTCTCAGCCTTCCAAATAGCTGGAATTACAGGTGCGCGCTACTATGCCCGACTAATTTTTTTTTTATTGTAGAGATGAGGTCTCGCTAAGTTGCCCAGGTAGGTCTCAAACCCGCGGGCTCAGGCAGTGTGCGTCAAAATGTCACTTGTACTTCATAAATATGTACAATTATGCATCAATTTTTAAAAAGCGAAGCATGGGAAAATATATTTTATTATTATTATTTTTTTTGAGTTGGAGTTTCACTCTGTTGCCCAGCCTGGAATGCAGTGGAACTCATGACCACTGCAGCCTTGACCTGCTGGGCTCAGGTAATCCTTCTGCCTCAGCATTCTAACCTGGAACTACAGGCACGCACCACCACACTCAGCTAATTATTTATTTATTTATTGAAGAGATGAGGTCTCGCCAAGTTGCCCAGGCTGGTCTCGAACCCGTGGGCCCAGGCAATCCTCTCACCCTGGCCTCCCAAAGTGCTGGAATTATTGACATGAGCCATTGCTCCTGGCCTGGGAAAATATGTTTTAAACCCCAACTTCCTTTTGGAACCAGATACCCTTCAGAAAAGGTGTTAAGCCTATTTCATCCTGGTTTAGCTTGTTGTACTGGTTATTAGAAAGAGAAGGAACACAGGATTGGGTGTTTCTTTTTGTACAGGTGTAACCTAAAAAGCCAGTTGGTCTAATCTGTGTGTCTTTGTCCTATAAATCACTGCAGATGTGTGAGCAGGACTGCTTCTGCAACAAAAGCCTAGACCCAACCACATCTTGGGAAGAGAATGGCCACTTCCTGGGGTACAGTCTTTTTCATGCTGGTGGTATCCTGTGGTTGCAGCACTGTCTTTCACAGGGACCAGCAGACTTGGTTTGAGGGTGTCTTCTTGTCTTCCATGTGCCCCATCAATGTCAGTGCTAGCACCTTGTATGGAATTATGTTTGATGCAGGGAGCACTGGAACACGGATTCATGTTTATACCTTTGTGCAGAAAATACCAGGTAAGTTCAACTGGGACCCTTAGCAGAGTCTGTATATCTGTACTTTATCATCTCCTGCCAGAAACTAATGTGCTGAGAGCTTATTATGTGAATTACACAATCTTATAGCTAGTGAATGTCTTTCTTCAGAGAACTTTGGACTATAATTGAACACATGGTTTAATTCAATGTGAAATTAAGAGAGATCTTGCTGCCTGTATTCTGAAATCCATATATCCATAAAGAGTAGTTGTAATTTGTTCTTCCTTTTCTCTAAAAGTGGTTAATACTCCAGGGGTCTAGAATACTGAGAATATTAGGAGTGGTTCTGGGAGAAGGACCACATGAAAGTTTCACTTCCATCCTTGGACAAGGTGCTGAGGGGATTCTGAAGATACACTTTCTCTGAATTGTCCGTGTTCTCTCCTCAGGTTACCTGTAGAACCTGGGAAAAGGAGAGGAACTAGGTGTTCACCAGAGAAATGGCAGCAGTACCCTTAAGGGCTGCTCTGTTCTCTTTTCCAGTACTCCTGCAAGACATTCCTCACAAGTGGACTCATTTGGAATAGCTTAGGGGAAAAGCAGATTAATGTCTCAAGCCAGGACAGTTTACAGAGCCCAGCCTCTGAAGCAGCCTAACTTTAGTCATCAGCTCTCTTTCCTCTTTTGTTCCATGGACAAAATAGGACAACTTCCAATTCTAGAAGGAGAAATTTTTGATTCTGTGAAGCCAGGACTTTCTGCCTTTGTAAATCAGCCTAAGCAGGTGAGTTTCTCATGATACAATGTTTAGGTTCTCAGTGCCTTGGTAACTTGTCTACATCACTGCTGTTAAATATTTTCTGTTGTTCACAAATAAGGTCAAGGTCATGTGTGAGATCAGTTTTCTCTCCTCAGCTGATCTCATGGATAACAGAAATTGTATACCCCAGGCTCATGAGGGTGGAAGGGACTAGAAAATAGACTGTAGTCATGCAGGGATGGTGCTACCTTTGAAGACATTGCTTCCTGTGTGTTTACTGTTTAAGGTTTTGAGTTGAATCTGTCAGCTGTGTTGGTTTATGTAAGTGCAGAAGATAGATACGATGTTCTGTGGGGTATGTTGTATGAACATGGTAGCTGAGGGGGTGGAGACAGGGAATTTCATTTCGGAGTACCTTGATGCAGGATGGAACAACACCTATACCTGAGACTTTAGGCAACAATCTATGATGACAAAAATCTTTAGTAGTAGAGGATGAATGGAGAGTTGTAGTGACTACATCTTACATTTGAGTACTCCCAGTATACTTTACCCAGCATATCTAAGGCCACATGTTACACTTTTGGAGCAGATATAAAAGCATTTATTGTTTAGTGTTACAGAATAATCATTATCTAAACAAAAATGGTTTGAGTTTGAAGAACTGAGAGGATTTTTTTTTTTTTTGAGTAAGAGTCTTACTCTGTCATCCAGGCTAGAGTACAGTGGCACGCTCATGGCCTTTGCAGCCTCGATCTGCTGGACTCAGGTGATACTTCTACCTCAGCCTTTCAAGTAGCTGGAACCACAGGCGCGAGCCACCATGCCTGGCTAATTTTTTAATTTATTGTAGAGATGAGGTCTCACCAAGTTGCCCAGGCTGGCCTCGAACCATCGGACTCAGGCAGTCCTTTCACCTCTGCCTCTCAATGTGCTGGGATTACAGGTGTGAGCTACTGTGCCTGGTAATTGTCTCTAGTTCAATAGCACATGAATGACAGATGTACTTGAAAATTATGGGCTGTTGAAAGCAACTACATTATCAGAAGTTGATTTGGCTTTTAGAAAAGATGATTGTGTTATAGTTGCTAATAATTCTAAGGGGCAATGTGTTGCCAGAATGAATGTTCACTCAGGGAAACAGCGGATTTAAAATAATGGTTTTCTTTCTTATAAATTGAGTATCTATTGAGTATCTACATGTAGGCGCTGGTGATGCAAAAATGAGCCTGACATGTTCTGTTCTTAAGGAAATCATCAAAAATCATTAAAAAATGTAGCATGATGACAGCTACAGCTTGTGTGGCAACTATTCTGCCTCATGTACACAACAGTTAGGTGGTAGTATAAGGCATTTCTCTCATCTTACACCTGAGAAAAACAAGCCCCACCCAAGTCAAATGACTTATGTTAGGCCACAAGGATAGGAAGCAAGTCTTCTGACTCTAACTCCTGAGGTTCTTTTTGTTTATACGCAACTCTCTGGCCTAAAGCTAATGAGACATAAGATTATAATCAACTAAAATGGCAACATAAATGAATTTTTGCTGTTACTATTGAAATCAAATGGATTCTCATTCTCTAAGTGGCTCACTACTCTGGGTTTCTCCTCCTACCAAGAGAGGTGGGAGCCCTCTGCCACATCCCTCCCATTGCTCCCCTAAAGCATGTGGAAGGAATAGACCAGTGCCACTAAATGGACTGTTCACTGAATGAATGAGTCATCTCTTTTGAAGGGTGCTGAGACCGTTCAAGGACTCTTAGAGGTGGCCAAAGATTCAATTCCCCAAAGTCACTGGAAAAGGACCCCAGTGGTCCTGAAGGCAACAGCAGGACTGCGTTTACTACCAGAGCAGAAAGCCCAGGCTCTGCTCTTTGAGGTAATTTTTGAAATCTTCATCTTAGATAATTCTGTTCTTTTCCATGTATGAATAGTTTCTTTATGAGTATTTAGCCTTTTGGAGTGTGACTGCTACCTTTAGTATTCCACCATTGCTAAAGCCCTGTGAAGTCTCTGGCCTCCTGTTACAGCTGTAGACATGTTTAACTACCACTCTTGAATTTATAGCGCTTCTCCTAAAAAGGTTAAAGTATTTCCTGTTCATGATATTCTTAATTCTTCTAACTTTTTAAAACAGAGTCATATAAATTGTTTTTAAGCAACTTTATTAAGATAAACATATACAATAAAGTGGATCCATTTAAGCACACAGTTCAGTGAGTTTTGACAAGTAATAGGAATTTCCTCATGCCACTTTATAGTCAGTTTCCTCTACCCCTGAAACCAGACAACCACTGATCTGCTTTCTGTCACTATAGATAAGTTTCGCTTGTACTTATGTGTATATAAGTGGAATCAATATAGTTTATATTCTCTTTTTTGTATCTGGCTTTTTTTGTCTCAGCATAAAGTTTTTGAGAAGAATTATGGGATTTTAAAATTTGAAAGATTTTTTTTTTTGAGTTGGAGTCTCACTCTGTCGCCCAGACTGAAGTGCAGTGGCCACTCCCGGCCACCGCAGCCTTGACCTGCTGGGCTCTGGCGATCCTTCCACCTCAGCCTTCCAAGGAGCTGGAACAAAAAGAGAGAATGGTCTTTGTCGTCTTGGAGCTTACATTCTAGTTTCAGGAAGACAGAAACTAAACAACTAAACACTTCAATACAAAGTATGCCAGGTGCTATGGAGAGACTGGGGAATGTCGGGTAAGGAATTCTGGTAAGGGTGTGAGGGAAAGGCTGTTCTAAATGGGGCTGTCAGGAAAGACCTCTTTGATAAGATGTGTTTGATCAGAGTTCTGAGTGGATTGAAGAAGCAAGTTATACAAGGCTCTTGTGGGAATAATATTCCATGTTAGAGAAATAGCAGCTACAAAAGCCAAAGGTGGAAATGTGTTGGTGTGTTAGGAACAGCATCTGGGAAGTCAGCATGGCTGGAGGGGAGTCAGTGATGAGGGAGACGTAGGAGGTAAGGTCAGAGAGGTGAAGCTGGGGGGAGCTGATCATGTAAGTCTCAAAGGCTACTATAAAGACTTTGGCTTTTTCTCTAAGAAGGAAGCCCCTGGAATGTTTTGAGCTAAGGAAAGACATGATCTGACATTTATTTCAAAAGCACCATTCTGAGCTGGGCTTGGTGGCTCAGCCTGTAATCCCACACTTTGGGAGGCTGAGGTGAGTGGATTGCCTGAGCCTGCAGGTTCGAGACCTGCTTGGGCAACTTGGCGAGACCTCATCTCTACAATAAATCAAAAATTAGCCGGGCGTTGTAGCGCACGCCTATAGTTCCAGCTACTCGGAAGGCTGAGGCGGAAGGATCGCTGGAGCCCAGCAGGTTGAGGCTGTGGTGGCCAGGAGCGGCCACTGCACTCCAGTCTGGGCAACTGAGACTCCAACTTAAAAAAAAAAAAAAAAAAAAGGCAAAAAAAAAAATAAAAGCACCATTCTGGGTGCTGTGTTGAGAACAAACTGTGGGGTGGGGAAGAAGAGTGAAGAAGGCAAGAGCAGAATCTATCTGTGCTTATTTCTGTTTGCTTATCTATCTTCTCCTTCAAAGTTTGTTTATAGATAACTTAATTGGCTTTTCCTAGTTGAAACTGGGTCCAAAGGCCACCATGTGATGTTTTCATCCCATCAGAAATGAGAATAGCAAACAGACTAGAATTCTTCCTATTTCTATTTGGAGAATTCTTTTCTCCCTATAATAAATATAAGATATAACATCCATATCATTTGGCCTATATTATGGGGAGTCAAGAGTGTTTGTGCAAGATCTTCATTGCCAGCTCCTAAAATAGAATTCCATAAGTCTAGTTCTGTCAGAATCTGACAGGAGCTAGTACCAGAGTCCCTCAGTCCTTGGGCTTGAACTCCTTCCCAATAGGTTGATCTGCTCATCCAAGAAATGGAGTAGGAAAGGCTCCTCCTGGTTTCCAGTGTATGTCCAGGTAGAATTGACCAAGAGTTTTTTTAAAAATTGCAGAATCCTGATTTGAGCTGGAAGGGTCAATTATATGCCATTTTCTAGGTCGGGTTCACCTCTAAATTTAAATTTAAATTGGTTGAGCTTTACTTTAAAGTCAAGGAATCGCTGCATTTGTGTTTTTTGCAAGAAACTGGCAACAACTTGCCTAGTTTCTTTAGTTTCTTAGGGCAAAGGAAGAAATTTTGTTAAAATTTTATCTAGGGAAAATGGAGAAGTTTCTAAGCCTTATAGACACAGTCAAAATATGGAAACCTATTTTATTGCCTTAGGGAATCCAGGTTTTTTTCCTTTTCTTTAGGTAGAGGAGATCTTCAGGAAGTCACCTTTCCTGGTACCAAAGGACAGTGTTAGCATCATGGATGGATCCTATGAAGGTGGGAGAGGTGTTGATACATGTTCTGGGGGGAGAGGGACAGGGTCAGTGAAAGATCGAACTAAAGGAACTCTGAACAGAGATGGTAACTGTAGAGAAAGGAACTAAAGACAGAGGAACAAAATAGCAGGAGGAGCAGGAAATGGATGGATGGGTAGAAGGGAAACGTGCTCTAGACATATAATCCTTGTCTTTCTTTCTTTTAATTTTTTTAGGCATATTGGCTTGGGTTACTGTGAATTTTCTGACAGGTAATATATCCTCAGATTTATCTTAAGACTATAACTGAATTGTACACGCATGGTCAGAAGAGTAAAAATCCCTTTCTTTTTGTTGGTATGTTCTTTCTTCTTTAAAAAAGGAAAGGAAAAGAAAAACAGAAAGTTAATGTTTATAACCTGCCTTCAAGGCCTTAGCTGCAGGAAGAGCTCTTCTGAGTTGACATTGACCTGCAGTCTTTGGGGCTGGGGAGCAGTATTTATGGAATGCCTTCAGAGTATGACAGGAACAGGAGAGATGTGTTTTGGGTGTCCAGGATGTAGAGGATATTTAGAGCTGGATCTCATTGACAGGTCAGCTGCATGGCCACAGCCAGGAGACCATGGGGACCCTGGACCTGGGGGGGGCATCCACTCAAATCACGTTCCTGCCTCAATTTGAGGTGAGTCATTTATATGAAGATCTGGCTAGCAATGCACTTGACATGGTGCCTTTCAGACAGTAACTACACCACAGGCTGAGGAGAGTCAGTTGATGACTGTGTAAACTTCCCCTTGCCCTCTCACTGGTTGGAGTCCCTTTGATTCTTTGAAGCCTTGTGAGATTAGCAGCTTAATCTGTCTCCATCTCTGATTTTGCGGGGGCAGGGACAGGGATGGTGTTGATAACATCTTTAGATAATTGCAGATCCTGAATAGTCTTTTTGCTCTTTCTGATTTGCAGGAAACCCTGGAACAAACCCCTAGGGGCTACCTTACTTCCTTTGAGATGTTTAACAGCACTTACAAGCTCTACACACACAGGTGAGGAGGGGGACAGGGAAACATAGTATTTCACATTGTATGATTCTTCTAACTTCCAAAGCATTCTCAAATCTACTCTTTTTTTTTGAGTCGGAGTTAATTGTATCTGATCAGCTTTATAATCTTTGCCAGTTCCTTAGGGCTTATCAACTGAAAACTGTACCATTTACCAAAACCCAAGGGACCCAAGAGACATCTCTATTCTTGGCCTCAAAAGTGTATAACTTAAAAGCTGAAAGTTGGCCAGGCACAGTGGCTCATGCCTGTAAACCCAGTACTTTGGGAGACCAAAGCGAGAGGATTGCTTGAGCCCAGGAGTTCAAGACCAGTCTGGGTAACATAGTGAGACCCTGTCTCTACAAAAAGAAAAAAAAGATATGAAAGTTTTCTCCAGGGAAGAGGATACTTGGAAGACTCTGCCAAAGCTCCATGCCAACTTCTTTTCCTGGCCTTTGTGTGTTCAGAATCCAGCCTAGAATTCGATTCCAGTTAAGGCTAGGATCTAAGTTAATGAGAGCTTTTCTGGGGATGATTCCTGGTATGAGACCCTAGGAATTGTTACTATCTCTGGCCTTTGAATCATAGCTGTGGAAAATTCTCACTGCATAGCCTTGATCTAAACTATACAGAAATTACCCATTTGTTGACCACAGAGACAGCAAGATTTTCACCTCTAGAAACTGTTACTTTTGAAAGAAAGCAGATTTAGGCTTGAGAACTTCGACCAGCATGAAATTGGTCAATCCTGTATTTTACAGTTACTTGGGATTTGGACTGAAAGCTGCAAGACTAGCAACCCTGGGAGCCCTGGAGATGGAAGGTTTGTCTGGGTACCTGTGCTGGGTTGGGGGGTGCTGAGAGTGACAGACACTCAGCTTGCCTCTCCCTTCCTTGGCAGCGATTTTGTGGAGGAAAGGCTTTTGTTGACTTGAGAAGCATAATGGACCTAATAATAGCAAGTCCTTTTTTGTTTTATAAGCTTAGAAGTTTTGTTATATATTATTAGCCGTTTTCAGATAAGGTCTACTTGTATAGGGCAACAGCCTGTGGTTAGGAGGCTGAAGTGTCTGCAGAAATTCAGGGCTCATGGAGTGCATTTGACAGGAGCTTACTCAAGCCCTGAGCTTTGCATGGGAGGTGCCGGAGGCAGGTCTGTTCTACCTGCAACTCCATTAATCTCTTCACAGTTGGGGTCAGGCAGAACTGGGTTCAGCCCCAGTGCTGTGATTTGGGATGAGTTAGTTAACCCTTCTGTGCCTTTTTCCTTACATTAACTTAGATTTTGCACTTAATGAACTTTATAGGGTACCTGGCTTTACAGTACACTATTATTAGGATGACAATGGTATTGCATTCATTGTTTACAAAACATCTTCAAGTGTATTTCATTTAAGCCTCTCAGAAACCAGTGAAGAGGTAGCACAGTATGTTTTCCTGTTTTTAGAAAGGAAGGAACTAACTCTGTTGTGGGTTTTGGGTTTCTTTGAGATATGATGAAAGCCAGGGACCCCTCTGATAAAAGTACGCGTGTGAAAAAATTTGCATTTAGTTTCAGGGGTTCTCTAACCACCCACCCACAAAGCCTAATTGTGACCCTGAGCTACGACTGTCATAGGATGTAGACATGAGAGCTAATTTCATAAGATTTTTAAGACGAGCTCCCTTGATGATTCCCTTCAGCCTCATTGGCTTCTTGCTTGCTTTCATCCTCTCTTACGTACTTGCCTCTTTTTTTATGCCCTGGTTTCTTTCAGGGATTGATGGACACACTTTCCGAAGTGCCTGTCTACCAAGATGGTTAGAAGCAGAGTGGATATTTGGAGGTGTGAAATATCAGTATGGTGGCAACCGAGAAGGCAAGTGATGTTTTCTCCAATGGTAAAAATTACCTTAGTAGAAGTTAGGGAAAATCCCATGGGCAACATTTTTCAGAGCTTAGAAGAAGCTTATCTTGTTGTACAGACTTATTCTAAAGATCTTCGTGTGTCTACAAGGACTAATATGAAGTGACAGCAAACAAGATGTCATTCTGCATCGTGTTCTTTTTCCCTGGCCAAGTGTCAAAGATCCATTAAACCTGTGCTTAGCCGGGCGTAACAGGGTGTATGTGTAGTTTCAGCTACTCAGGAGACTGAGGCAAGAGGATTACCTGGGCCCAGGAGTTGGAGGCTGCACTGACCTATGATCATGCCTGTAAATAGCCACTTCACTCCAACCTTGGTGACGTAGTGAGACCCCATTCCTTAAAAATAAATAAATACATACATACGTAAATACATAAATCAATAATTAAGAAACTTGTTCAGGCACGGTGCCTCAAGCCTGTAATCCCAGCACTTTGGGAGGCTGAGGTGAGAGGATTGCCTGAGCTCAGGGATTCAAGACCAGATTGGGCAACTTGGTGAGACCTCATCTCTACAATAAATCAAAAAATAAGCCAGGCGTGGTAGCGCGTACCTGTAGTTCCAGCTACTTGGAAGGCTGAAGTGGTGGAAGGATCACCTGAGCCCAGCAGGTCAAGGCTGCGGTGGCTGTGAGCATGCCACTGCACTCCAGCCTGGGCGATAGAGTAATACTCCAACTCAAAAGAAAAAAAAAGAAAAAGAAGAAATCTGTTCTTAGCTTGAGTCTAATGAAATAGTGTGAAACCTTGTTCAGTTAACATTTATCAGTTTAAATTGGTCAGGTATGGTGGCTCATGTCTGTAATTCCAGTACTTTGGGAGGCTGAGGTGGGAGGATTGCTTGAGCCCAGGAGTTTGAGGCCAGCCTAGGCAACATAGCAAGACCTCATCTCTACAAAAAATTAAAACAGCTAGCTGACTAGCCGGGTGTGATGGCACACGCATGTAGTCCCAGCTACTCAGGAGGCTGAGGCAGAAAGATCGCCTGAGCTCAGGAGGTCGAGGCTACAGGGCTGTGATTGTGCCATTGCACTCTAGCCTGGGCGACAGAGTGAGACTCTGACTCAAAAAAATTGCAAAAAACATTAAGTTATTTAAATTAAACTTAAGATTGAGCTGATAAGAATGATTCATCTTAGGTATTATGATAGGCATAAACCTTAATGTCAAGGAATAAACTTGATTTCCCAGTGAAGGAAGCAGATGAGCCCTCTGGATACTTTCTAATAAATACCATTAAACATAATGCTGGACAGTAGGAGGTTGGCTGTGGCTGTTTTTGGTGAACACAGGCTAGGGAGGGGAGCTGCCTTGGAGGACAGAACAGTGAGGCTGTGGAAATTTGCTCTTCTTTGTTTTTAAGCCCTTTGTCCTAAGCCTCGGTCTTCTATTTGCCTCAGTCCTCCTGTCGTTCCCTCATTGTCTCCAACATCTTGCCTCAGAGGGTGACCCTTTCCCCACGATTGTCCTCACCTTACCCCTGTACACCTTTGCCCTGGCAGGGGAGATGGGCTTTGAGTCCTGCTACGACGAAGTGCAGAGGGTGGTACAGGGAAAACTTCACCAGCCGGAGGAAATCCAGAGAAGCTCCTTCTATGCTTTCTCTTACTATTATGATCGAGCTGTTGACACAGACATGATTGGTGAGTTCACCCCATGTGTCAGTCCAGAGAGAAAAGTGGGCAGGGCTATGTGGAGGAGGTCAAGGAGGAGCACTTGAATTCTGTTTTGGGGTGACTAAATGACTCTTCTTCAGTGCTGGTTGTTGAGTGGTACTAGTCACTTGAAGGATGAGTATGACTTAGAATCTTTTGGCGATAAGAGATGACCTAAACAACTATGCAGGGGTCTTTTTTTCCTACATCCTTATTGAGGTATAACTGTCATACAATAAATGCTCATTTAAAGTGTACATTTTAGCCGGGCTCAGTGGCTCAGCCTATAATCCCGTGCCTTTGGGAGGCTGAGGTGAGTGGATTGCCTGAGCCTGCGGGTTTGAGACCCCCCTTGGCAGCAAGACCTCATCTCTACAATAAATCAAAAAATCAGCCGGGCATGGTAGCGCATGCCTGTAGTTCCAGCTACTTGGAAGGCTGAGGTGGAAGGATCACCAGAGCCCAGCAGGTCGAGGCTGCAGTGGCCAGAAGCAGCCACTGCACTCCAGTCTGGGTGACAGAGTGAGACTCTAACTCAAAAAAAAAAATAAAGTGTACAATTTGCCGGGCTCGGTGGCTTAGCCTGTAATCCTGCGCCTTTGGGAGGCTGAGATGAGTGGATTGCCCGAGCGTGCGGGTTCGAGACCCGCCTGGGCAGGCAAGACCTCATCTCTACAATAAAATTAAAAAATCAGCCGGGTGTGGTAGCGTGCACCTGTATTTCCAGCTACTTGGAAGGTTGAGGCGGAAGGATCGCCGGAGCCCAGCAGATCAAGGCTGCGGTGGCTGGAAGCGGCCACTGCACTCCAGGCTGGGCGACAGAGTGAGACTCCAACTCAAAAAAATAAATAAATAAAGTGTACAATTTGCTAAGTTGTGCCATGTATGTTCCTGTGAAACCATCACCACATTCAAGATAATGAACATATCCATCATTCCAAAAGATTTCTTTCTTGCCACTTTATAACTTTTTTTCTTATTATGAAAGTAACACTTTTGTTTAGCTCTGAAAGTGTGTGTACGTGTTCTGTTGTGGCCTGAGATATACTGTGTTTTTTATGGGTCTGTTTTTTAATTGTTGTAAAATATACATAACAAGAAAGACTATAAATAAATAGGCTGCACAGATTATACTGTATGGCTATGTCATATTTCTTTATCTTATTCTCTAATGTGAGAAATTTTACTTCCAGTTTTTCATTATTATAAATGTCATTAGGATGAATTTCCTTATATTTCCTTGAAGGCTTTTGACATCAGTTGCTGTTCTGTTCATTTCAGATTATGAAAAGGGGGGAGTTTTAAAAGTTGAAGATTTTAAAAGAAAAGCCAGGGAAGGTAAGTGTCAGGGGAAACCCTTGGAGTAGGCCTATGAAGCTGTGCCTGCCAGCTTTAGTGACCTAAAGTCACCTAAAGCACCTCATTCAGCTCAGAAAGTCTGTCAGGAGGCTGGTTTCCTTTCTGGGTCTTCAATCTTTGCTAGGAATTAGCCAGGTGTGGTGACACACACCTGTAGTCCCAGCCAGTCAGAGGGCTGAGGTAGCAGGATCAGAAGTTGAGGCTAGGAGTTAGAAACTGCAGTGAGCTATGATCATGTCACTGCACTATGCCTGGGTGACAGAACAAGACTTTGTCTCTAAAAAGAAAAAAAAATTTTTAAAAAGCATTACACAGAGTTCTGGGCAAGCATATGGGAATAAGACTGGGCGTGGTGGCTCACGCCTATAATCCCAGCACTTTGGGAGGCCAAACTGAGAGGATTGCTGTGAGCCCATGGGGTCGAGACCAGCCTGGGCAACTTGGCAAGACCTCATCTCTACAATAAATCAAAAAATTAGCTGTGCTTGTTGGTGTGCGTCTGTAGTTCCAGCTACTTGGAAGGCTGGGGTGGAAGGATCTCCTGAGCCCAGCAGGTCCAGACTGCCGTGGCCACAAAGTTGCCACTGCACTCCAGCCTTGGCAACAGAGTGAGACTTTGACTCAAAAAAAAAAAAAAAAAAAAAGAATACAAGAAGATTTGGGGAAAATGGTGAAAATCTTTTTTGCCTCTACACTTCTTTTTTCATTTTATTTTTTTGAGTCAGTCTCACTCTGTCACCTAGACTGGAGGGCAGTGGCACAATCCAGCTCACTGCAGCCTCGACTTCCTGGGCTCATGTAATTCTTCTGTTTAAGCCTCCTGAGTAGCTGGGACTACAGGCTTGCCACCCTATCCAGCTAATTTTTTGATTTTTTATAGAGAGAAGGTTTCACTATGTTGCCCAGGCTGGTCTCAAACTCCTGGTCTCAAGCAGTCCTCTTGCTTCTGTTTCTCTTAGTGCTGGGATTACAGGCGTAAGCCATTGTGCCCAGTTCCTTTTTCAACTTTTAAAAATTGAAATAGTGTTATTGTTAATGAAACATTGATCATCAAAATACATGGGAAATAGCCACAGAGGCTTTCTTGAGAGAGTCAGTCTAACAAATAAATGAGAGTTGGTGTGGTACCTGTGGTGGGACGATCGCTTGAGCCTAGGAGTTTGAAGTTATATTGAACTATGCTTGCACCACTGCACTCCAAACTGGGTGACATAGTAAGACCATGTCTCTAAAAAATAATACAAAATATATAAAAAATAATTTTAAAAGTAAAATACAAATGAGCATATCCAGTGGTCCACAGTAGACCTAAATGGTATTTCCCTGTCTTCTGGGCCTCAGCATTAATAGCAGACAAGGGACTTAGAACTAAGCCCCCACAATATGCATAGAAACTTAGTGAATAAACTAGAGCCCATATAATTTTGAGTAGATATGATATCAGAAATGTACAAGTTCATAAGAAGCTGTGGTCTTAAGGAGGCAATCAGTACACAGTCTCATCTCTGGGAGGCCCAGGCATTAACCAAATGGAGACTTCTGCCTTGCTTATTTTATCTCTGTCTATATTTAGAGAAAATACTACACCTCTTAGCTGCAGACTTGAACTCCACTGCTTACTGTCTCACTTTCAGTGTGTGATAACCTGGAAAACTTCACCTCAGGCAGTCCTTTCCTATGCATGGATCTCAGCTACATCACAGCCCTGTTAAAGGATGGCTTTGGCTTTGCAGACAGCACTATCTTACAGGTAAGAGACAGGACTTCAGAGTCCCTAAGAGTTTTCCGTGGGGTGGGAAAAAGGAGTCAAGAACTTGTATAGTAATCGCGTAGCCATGGGTGGAATGACAAGGTACAGTATTTTTGTTTGGGCTATGGACAAGGCACTGTGCTAGGCACTATGAATGTGGGAAATAGCCTTGATGCAGTGGTAGCTTCCAAATGTCTTACTATGCCTGCTATCCTCTATGTCACAGAACAGAAAGCCTTGTAGCCCAAATCAAGATGCCCGAGTCACATAGCTTATTAAATCAACTGAGAACTCAAGGCAGGAAGCAAGAGGAAAGAGATGGGAAAGGTGAGCACACAGGGTAGGGCGCAAGCCTTGTAGTCTCTGGGCATCTCCCACTGAGGCCATATACTTCCTCTTAGGCCTGCATTCACCAAGGCTGAAAATATCACACTTTTTGAATCTTAGTGTTACACTTGTTCTGGGTTCACACGTCCTGCCTCTCTCTGCTGCTGATGAAGTGGTTACAACTAATAGAGCTGAAATTTAGTCAAGGGGGCACAAAGACAGAACGTGTCTGGGGCCATCATACAAACTTGCCCTATTTGTAGAGGCCCTGGTTCAGACACACCTAGCCAGCAGCGTTAGATCATCCATTAGCCCATGAGATGAGTCTTCTTGGCAGAGGACATGAGGGACCAGAGTGTGTCACCAATGGGTGGCTTATTTAAGACCTATGAGTACTGAATGCTTTGTGCATATGTAGTGTGTGACATAACATTTTATGTGTGCCACATATATTTTGTGCCTCTTGAGTTTTCAGTCCCTCTGTCTTATACTTTATCTGAAGCAAGTTACTTATCTATTTAAAAACATATTTTATAAGCCGGGCTCAGTGGCTTAGCCTGTAATCCCGCGCCTTGGGAGGCTGAGGTGAGTGGATTGCCTGAGCCCGCAGGTTCGAGACCCGCCTAGGCAACTTGGTGAGACCTCATCTCTACAATAAATCAAAAATTAGCCTGGGATGGTAGTGCGCGCCTGTAATTCCAGCTACTTGGAAGGCTGAGGTGGAAGGATGGCCGGAGCCAAGTAGGTCGAGGCTGTGGTGGCCGGGAGCAGCCACTGCACTCCAGTCTGGGCGACAGAGTGAGACTCCAACAAAAACAAAAACAAACATATCTTATAAGTGTCTTCCATTTTCTTATCTTCTGTATCATAATTAAATAAGTGTACATTATAGCTACAAAGATGATTAAGATATTATCTTTGTCCACAAACAGCGTACAGTTAATTAGAGATGTGACAAAAATGTAACTGTAGCACAAGGCAGCTTTATGAACTTCAGGGTCAGTGAATAGACTATAGTTTGTCTTCCAAGCCACTCCCTCTGACCTTCCCTTGGTACGACTTCCCTTCTTGTTTTCCTAGTTCCAGATGAGCTTGTCTTGTCCCATTTCTTGTTATACACATCTCATAGAGTCATTGCTACTAAGACATTGGAATTTAATGTTACATCTGTCCAGAATATTAGCATTTTAAAGTGCCTCACGCCTGCTGTGGTTCATGACCATAATCCCAGCACTTTGGGAAGCCCTGGTGGGAGGATTGCTTGAGCCCGGGAATTGCCAGCCTGGGCAAAAAGTGAGACCCAGTATCTACAAAATTAAGAAACTAGCTGGGCTGTGGTGTTTTGCACCTATAGTCCCAGCTACTCAGGAGGCTGAGGTGGGAGGATCATTTGAGCCCGAGAGTTCGAGGTTGCAGTGAGCTATGATCATACCACTGCACTCCAGCCTGGGTGACAGAGCAAAATACTGTCTCTAAAAGAAAAAAAATGTTTAATGAGAAAAAAATAAAGTGTTTAACACAGAAGAATTATGTGCCTGTATAGTCAGTATTGCATAGTGTTTAAAGCTTGGGCTCTGCTGTCCATCAGACCTGTGTTCAAATTCTGGTTCTGCAAGTTTACTAGCTTTGTAACTTTAGCTGAGTTATTTCCCCTCTTAACTTTTAGGTTCCTTACTTGAAACATAAGGATCCTTACAGTACCTATTTCTTAGGGCTGCTATGAAAATTGAGAAAATGTGAATAATGAATAAAATGTGAATGATGAATAAAATGTAAATAGTGCCTGGTACATAGTAAGTTATTAATATTGGTTTGTTTGTTTGTTTTTTTTTTTTTGAGTCAGGGTCTCACTGTCACCTGGGCTAGAGTGCAGTGGCACGACCACAGCTCACTGTAGCCTCAACCTCTTGGGCTCAGGTTATCCTTCCACTTCAGCCTCCTGAGTATCTGGGACTACAGGTGCACACCTCAAAGCCTGGCTAATTTTTTGTAGAGACAGGTTTCGCTATGTTGCCTAGGCTGGTCTCAGGCTCCTGGGTTCAAGCAGTCTCATCTTGGCCTTTTGAAAGTGCTGAGATTATAGGCGTGCACCTGGCCTTGGTGTTACTGTTAATAGAAGCATTTCACATCAGTTGGGGATAGATTTGCAGGTAAGAGAGATTATCTTCAGCCTCTCAATACACACTAAGTTAACAATTGCTTCTAATTAAGCATTAATAAGAACTTACTCATTTAAGGACAGTTTTTCTCGTATTTTCAGTGCTGACATCCGTTTGATCTCTATAATTTCAGTAGGGCAGAATTTAAATCAGAATGGACAACCCTGTCCCAGAAATTGCTTCAATTTGGCATCTGTGTCCCTATGCTGCTGCCCAGTCCTGAGGACATAAGTTGAACATTTTGGTGTGGGCCCTCCCAGTTTGACTCAGGTGTCCTAGACTAAACCTTAGGACGATGATTTTTTTTTCCTCAGGGTAATGATTTAAATGCCATTCTCCCCATTGGGGGACAGGGACTAAGCTTGATTTCATCAGGTCAACACAGAACAATCCACTGGTTTACAGACTTGTCTTTCGGTGGTAGTGGTAGCATCTTTATTCAGCAGAGCTTTTGAAGAATGTCAGTAGCATATTTTGAAGAATGTCAGTAGCATAAAACTGATAAAGAGGAGCTCTTCTGGTTGAAGTAGAGTTTGGGGCCTGGACTCCTTTGCCATTTGACCTCCCTTTTTTCTTTGAAACACTTCCAACAAACCTCTAAGATTCTGAAGAAAACAATTTGATAAGCACTAATCTAATCTTCTTGTTATATAGCTGAGTAAGTTGTGTCTAAAGTTTTGCCTAAGGTCACTGAGCTAACTGAGGAACAACCTGGCCCACAATGTCTTAGATGCCCTGGTTGGTTATCAGTACTTAAAAAGAGGGTTGCAGCTGGGCGCAGTGACTCACACTTGTAATCCCAGCACTTTGGGAGGTGGAAATGAGAGGATTGCTTGAGCCCACATGTTCGAGACCAGCCTGGGCAAGTTGGTGAGACCTCGTCTCTACAATAAATAAAAAAATTAGCTGGGTGTGGTGGTGCACAGTTGTAGTTCCAGCTACTTGGAAGGCTGAAGTAGAAGGATCACCTAAGTCCAGCAGATCAAGGTTGTAGTGGCCACGAGTGTGCCACTGTACTCCAGCCTGGGCAACAGAGTGAGACTCTGACTCAAAAAAAAGAGGGTTTTTTGACATAGTGTGAATTGACAAGTTGGTTTGTTCTTTCCTACCCTGTCTCCTGATCATGCCCTTTCTGCTACATCTAGTACCATTTCAAGTTACCTTCTCAGAAATTGGTGATTCAGAAAATAAAGCAGGGAATGTGATGTTTAGTTTCAGGATTAAGGAAATAATTCAGAAACCTGTCTGTTTAGAAGTTCTCTCTAGAAGGCCTCGTGGACTACTTCCTGGGCCAGAGCATTCTGGGATGAGAATGGTGGGTATAGTGGCAATAGGTTATGGCTGGAGGGAAATTGTTGCAGAGTAGTGGGAAGACTCCAAAGACTGGCTACTCCCAATTTTGCCTTGGTTTGGCCATGTGGATGCTCTTTTCTGACATTATCTGCCCAAGTACAGTGCTTGCTAGAGTTGAAAATTGGATGAAAATGTGAAGACTTTTTTTCTGCTCCTCAACAGCTCACAAAGAAAGTGAACAACATAGAGACAGGCTGGGCCTTGGGGGCCACCTTTCATCTGTTGCAGTCTCTGGGCATCTCTCACTAAAGCCATGCACTTCCTCTGAGGCCTGCATTCGCCAACAACTTTTTTAATGGAAGAAAGACAGAGGACTTAGTCATTGTCTGAGCTAGTCTGGGGACAGCCTGAACTGAAGCTTAGTATCTGGCTTTATCAGGAGAAAGGGGCTTTCGTAAATGGCTCGTGAGTCGAGATTTAGGAAATTAAGTTCAATCTAATGTGAAGTGTTCCTAACCACTTGGAGTGCAAAGCTGGTACTAGCATCCAAATCTTTTGAGATTCTTTATGTGTCACAGAGAGCCCCATGAACCAAAAAGCATAGCTTTGGAACTAAACCTCATGTGACAGCCCAAGGACAGGTCCCTGGGAACCAAAGAAAAATCTCATTTCAATCCTTGGAGTGCCTCTTTCCATTGAACATTTACATTTTCCCTTACATGCTAAAAATTTCCCTTATATGGTCTATCAATACCAGTATTTTTCCTCCCTATACACTGCCCTGCCTCACCATTATCTGCAACCATCTCCCCTAAAGAGAAAAAAAAAATTTGCTTTCCATGTATAGTTTTTAAAAAAAGTATCATATCAAAGTTTGTGTGATCCTGTTCTGTGCCAGCTCATCAGCTAGCTGAGAGTCATCTTAAAATGTTGACAGAATGGAGAGGAACTCCTAACTGTTCATAGATGGAAGCCTTAAGAAATGATGTCACCTAGTCTCTAGGGATATGTTTTGGGAGGGTGTGGCTGCCTCATAGCCTACCTTCTTTAATCAACTTTTTATCAGTGAACTCTGGGATTAATGAACAAATCCAGTCTTATAGGTATATGTGTATTCAGTGCTAGAACTGCTTCCTGGCTACTGTGTTTGTAGTATTTTTCATGATCCTAAATTTGTTTCTAAAAAATACAACTATACCCTAAATTTTGATCTATGGTGACAGGGCAGTGCCATGCTATTCTGTTAGTTTTTAAAAAATTTCCCTTTTCTTTCATGATATTGTAGGATCTGTAGATTATTAGCCTCTTTCAGTTTGCCCTTTTTTTCCCTCTTCATTTATAGCAGTACCTGCCTGCCCTAATCACTTCAGCTAATTGACTGAATTTTATTCATTTAGTTTCAGGGTTCCTAATATCCTGCTTCACAATACCCCACTTTGGTTGTCTCTTTTTAGCTCACATCAGTACAGCAGACCAACATTTCTAGAGAAAATAGTATTTCATGACTCTTAGGTTCTTTTTGAGCCTGAGAGCTCAGAGCTCTTGATTATGTGAATTCTTCCCCCAAATTCATTATCTTATAACTTTCCCATGTGACCATCATCTGTATCTTGTCTGCCTACTCTAGTGCTCTTGGACTGTGGTCTGGCTCCTTTGCCTTGGCTCTTAACCTCCAGCTTCTTCCCAAGAGTTTTTATCTCCTCAAACTTGTGGCACACAGTAGGCTCCCTTCCCTTCTGTTCTCTCACAAAGTACACCTGGCATGCACACCAGTCTCTGGGGAAATTTATTTTTAAGTTATTCTATTGAGTCAGTAAATACTTATCATCTGATATTTGCAAGCAAGGATCTTGACGAATTTCTGTATCCTTATTCTCCAAATTTTAGTTGTTGTTCATTTGAATTTCTTCACTTTTCACACTGACTTTTTATTACTAAGGTTGCCTTTATATCTATTGCCTTCCTCAAAAAATGCTTATCTATCATAAAATAATAGAATCCTTAGAGTTGGAAGTAGCCCATAGATATAACCCAGTCTTCTAACCAGTACACATTTTTTTTTTCAGACAGCTCATTCCATTTGGAAATGCACTGATATTAAAAAAGTCCTCCTTATAGTGAGCTGACATCTACTTATCTTCTCAGTTGTCTTTGTGCTGCTCTAATGTCTTCCAGTGCCTTTCAGTCTTTTGAAGAACGTTCCTCCCAAGTTCCTTATGGTCTCTTCTTTAACCTGTGACATGGCCTCTAGACCCCTACAGTACACTAGTTGTTCTAGTTTCTTCCAGTAAAAACCAGTTGTTTCCCCAAGAGGTAAGTTGGGTTCACTGAAAACTCCTTCAGCTTGACAGGCCCAGAGATGTAAAGTTCTCTGGTTTTTATCACCTCAGGTTGTCTCTGAAGCTTCTTATAAACTGGGGCCATTTTGTAAAGTACACAGCTTTTTCAGTGACTCCTTTGATCATCCTAGAGACCTTCAGAACTCTAGGGTAGGTGCATTCTAACTAAACATTTGTATACATTTATTAATTTTGATTAGAATATCTTGAGAGTTAACCATTTTTAGCAATTTAGAATGAAAATGTTTATTTCTTAAATTTGTCTATAAGTGTCCATTTTGCCCCAGTGGACCCTTTCCCCTTATTCTAAGGGGTCCCTCAGATTCTAATACTGTTTCCCCTTTGCAAATGTATTAATATATTTAAAATACATCCAAGGTCATGGTCTTGGATGTTGTGTTTGTTATCATTGTCATGTGAAAAACTCTGTAGGTCATGGAGCTCCTTGTCAAGTGTGCCTTAAAGTTTTTCATCTTGCCCAGTTTTGTTGGCATCCTTCTGGAGAGTCTGTGCTCTCCTCACCTAGGTTACTTTTCCTGTGTGAAAGGTGACCTTGTCTTTGCAGTCTGCCAGTAGTCCTTTCCCAGCAGCTGCCATCTCTTATTTAGTGCACATTTCCCCTAAGATTCCAGGAAGTTTATGACATCGTAGCTTTTTTACTCTAGTGTCTCATAATTTCCACATTTGCCTGAAAAGCTCCCTTTTAACAGATTTCTCATGCCTTTGAAAATTCTCAAGAATAGCTTACTTCATTCAAAAGCAGATTGTTTCTTCTTATACTATCTTCAAATCAGACTTTTGGGCAAGATGTTCTTTATAGTAAGCAAATCTAACAGACCTGAAAATCCCTTCAAGAGGAATCTGAAGTTGAGTGTTTCAAAAACCTACGGCAAAACAACCCGTGCTCCACTTGTCCACCAGGCTGCCACCAAACATGAAAAAATTCTGCTGCTAATTAATTTCCTTTTGACCTGGTTCCTGAGGTCTTCAAACCTGTGCAGTTAAATTATTTATTGTTCTATTAAAGAGACAGTAGTGTCCCAGAGAGGAGCTATAAATAAAATGGAAATTTGGTGCTGTGAAGTAGTAACTAGCATTAATAAGATTTAGTTCTTTTTTCAGAAAGTCCAATGTACGTGTAACAAAGGTTAAAGCAGTTTATATTTAATTTGTATTGTTAATTTTTAAGCAGCAATCCTAACAAAAATGCATCAACTGAGTATATCTAATTCTTCTATCAAAAAAACAATTGTATAAATTTATGATCAGCGCTAAAAATATAAATAAATCTCTATAGAAAGGATTGTTGACAAGTGAAAATGTGTGAGACAGTACCTCAATGATTTTTTAGTAATAAAAAGTTCTTTTCAACCAAATCATAAGTCTTCCTTTGACATTTTTTCCTTGGTTTGGCTAATATTCTCTTCCCACAGCAAATTATCACTCATTATTTTGGCTGCATAGGCTCATAAGTAAAGAAGAAAAATAGATGAGAATTCTAATGTAAAGTAAATTTATTAAACTAAATCTTGAAAATATGTGCGATGGTTTTGGGGAAAGATGTTCTTTTTTTCATCAACATAATCTCTGGAAGAGGAGCACTCATTTGCTTGCAAATGCCATAATCTGTGCCTGGAGAAAAATAAAACAAAGTGAGGAGAATCTAAACACTGTAAGGTGTAAGGGCAGGTGAAGAAAATACTTTAAAATATCCAAAGTGATGAAAGCAAAAACTTAGCAAAAGATTATCTAGATATTCCTCCCAAAGGTTCCTGTTTTATTTTCAATTAAAAGAAGAAAAAGCAAAAACAAATGGGTCTCCCTCTGTTGCCCAGGTTGGAGTGCGGTGGCATGATCAAAGCTCACTGTAGCCTCTAACTCCTGGGCTCAAGTGATCATCTGGCCCCAGCTGGAGTTGGTAGGACTATAGTTGGAACCACCATGCCCCCCCATTCACTATTTTTAACAGCTGAAGAATACTATACATACTATACTTTACGTATAGTATAACTTTCCTATATATATAAAGTCATTGCTTAGATTGAGACCTTAACACGAACAAGCCCAGCAAGTACTTTTTTTTGCTTGTAACCACTGGGAAGGTAGATGTAATTTTATAGCCAAGAAAATTAATTCAAAGAAATGAAGAGTTGTCTGCAAAGCTATTTTTCTGTGAGCAACCTTGAGTGGAGATATTGCATTTGTGGCCTGCAAGCCCCATGTCCTGAGCAGCACAAGTGGAGTGGTGCTGGTGGAGTAGAGCCTTTTGAGTAAGTCTGTTGCAGCCAGAAGAGCAGTGTTGTGACGCTGTCTTTCTGTTTCATAACTTGTGAGGTGGCTCATGGAACCTGGAGGACAGAGGAAAGACCGAATTCCCTAATCCAATGCTGTTTTCCTTCTTCTAGCAAACCAGATCCATTTTATGTCCACCCCATCTTGCCACTATGGGCTGTTTTTGGGCCCTGATCTTCCCTGACTACACGACCTCTGAACACTTCTCTAAGATACTTAATCCTTACCTAAGTCCTTCCCATTGAAGGCTGCAGTACTGAGGTGATGGACCAGGCTGGAGATATCCCCAAAGCCCATGTTGACACCTTGTCCTGCTAGTGGATGGACTCTGTGGGCTGCATCCCTAAGAACACAGCAGAATTGAGGCGTGACCTCTAGCAGCACCATGAGGAAGGAGCACCCTGCTTTGTTGTTATCTTACCCAATGAGTGCCACCCGAGGGCGCACATACTCAGCAGCATGTCCCAACCCAAGAGGAAACAGTACTCGGCTTTTGGCGTCCACTTTGGCTACGCTTGGGGGCAGCTGGCGAGCTGAGACCCTGGTGGGCTTCAGAAGGGCGACAGCATATTGCAGCAAGGTGCCTGCCGAGTCGATGAAGTCTGTGTGGTTGATGTCACTCCACTGAGCAGCATCAACCACAACACAAATGAGGTAGAACTGATCAGTAAGTAGCAGGGAATTAAAACGTCAACAAGGAAACCCTTTTTGTAACCAAAGCTATGGGTGATGCTACCTAGCTTACCTACACTGATCCTGACCACAAGTGACAAACCCCTCAAACCTGTGCAAAATTTACCTTCCCATCACTCTCCACTGGTTTTAAGACCAGGCCAAGCTGCTCATCAGCGGGCCCCTACCTACCTCCACTCTTCCCCTTTTGCCAGTCCACACCCTCGTAATCATGACCCCGCCATAGGGTAGCTCATCATACAGTATCCTCCTCTTGCAAGACTCCCCTCTGCTTAGAACGTCCTTCCACCTCTCTTTCACCAGGGTAACACCTCAGAACATCAGATGTCACCTCTTTTTTAATGCCTCCAACCCTTCTCAGGGTGTTTTCTTCCTGTGTGCTTCCATGGCAACTGATGTGTACAAGCCTCGCTGCACTGAGACTGTCACTTATGTGTCTTCTCTCATTTGACTGCGAGCTTCCTGAAAGCAGGGACTGTCTCATTTGTTTCTGTATCTCCAGAGCCTACTACATAGAAGGCACTAGTAATTGTTGTTGAATGAATGTATTGCAAAGGTGCTAGACCTGTGCCAGGAATATATTCTAAATGACCCAGAGAGAGGACGCAGTCACCATTTAGCTTGGAATCCACTTCAGTATGTTCAGTTCCTTTTATTCTTGTTGCTACCACAAAGTAGTTAGTTTCAGTTCTTCAGTGTGAGGTCATTACTGAGGTAGCAAAGCGTGGTGGTTAGAGGTACAGGTTCTGAGGGCCAGCTTGACTTCAGGACCCAGCTTTGCCACTAGCTCAAGTTCCTAATCTCTCCCAATGAGGATAATAATAGTACCTACCTCAAAAGTTATTGAACTAAATCAGTAAACACATGTAAAACACTAACCTGTACCTGGCTCAATAAATGTTACCATTTATTACTATTAGTGAGTTTAGATAAATGTGGCATTTAGGCTCCCAAAATACTGGTGCCCATATCATCTAAAGGCTGTGTCTACTCCAGAAGAATTATTACTATTTGTTGAGCATCTACAATATATTTGATATATTCCACGCATTTTACTTTAGAAAATTACTTTAGAAGTCTTTTTTCAGTCCTGAGAGGTTGGTGATACGGTTTCCATCTTTCAAGAAATGAACAGGTAAAACCAATATCAAACCACGTTTATCTACAAAGCTTATTCTTAAACTCTGTGCTGAAATGTGCTCAGTCCTGGAAATACTTCCAATGAATCAGTTTCAACAGTTCAGGTACTTGGGACCTAGTAGAGCTGTTCAAAATGATCAAAGTATAACAGCTTCAAAAAAGGCCAATGGTAACCACCACCCAGGCAGCATAACAGCAGCCTGCAAACCTCAGAAGTACGTTATTACTTCTCTTGTTTTGCATTTCCCTGTGTACCCTCCTCCACATAATTCAGACCAAGTATTATTACAGTTACAAAAGGGCATCTGACTGGTTAGTGCTTTTTCCTTACTCAAAACTATCTTTGTATCTCCCTCTGCAACACATCATCAGCTGGGGACGTTGATACTCACAAAGGCAGAGTTAATGGCATCCACAAATTTTTCCTCATCCATGCTAACCAGCTCTGCTGCATGCTCATGGGATGTGGACCAAACCAAGGAACTCAAGCTGTCTGAGAGCTGTATCAAAAAAAAAAACCGATACTAAAGGCTAAAACTTCTCTACTTGGGAGCTCTCAAGCATAAAAAGAAAGAAGGGGAAACAAAGCTAGCCTGGGCATATCCCCTTGAAACCAGAAAAAGCCTGAGAGAAGTAAAGGGGAAAGCTGGGTGCATGTGAGCAGACTAGCCAGAAGGCCCTCTTACCGGGAGCACAGCGATAGGCCCAGAGGGAAGAAATCTCTGCCATGCGACATTGTTTTCTGTGGCCTGCAATAGAGAAGTTTTTCAGAGAAGTACCTAGTGCCTATAGAGTCCCCAGATGGCAGCTGAGGATCTTACCTCCGACAAATGCAAAGTAGCCACAACTGCAGACTGGTCATAGTTCCAGCTAACATTCTGGATTCCAGCAGACTGCCGGACTCCTGAGTTGTGACCATCTGCACCAATCTGGATGGAGACAAAATTGCTAAGTCTTGTAACCTCTTCATAAATCAAACTGCTCTAGAAACTTTCCTCTACCCTCTTAAAGTGTTCTCTAGTTCTCACTGTTGGTAAGCTCATCTGTGGCAGGACACTTGTTATCAGGCCTGCCTCACTCACATCCCCTCAAGGTGTAGCCCTATAACATGTCACCTCAGCCTTAGCCAACACAGCCAAAGATGGACATCTGACCCAAGAAGTGCTAGCCACAGGTTAAACTCAGCCAGATTCTCCTGATATCTGAAATAGAGAGCAATAAGGAAAGTTTCAGGATGGGTTGGGAACTGGAGCTGAACAGTAAGTAAGGTTAGGAAGGGCTGCTGTGTAAACGGGGAAGTTGGTAAACAAAAATAGAGGGAGAAAAATGGGAAATGGCAAGGAGATGAAAGACCCTGGGACTCCTAGGGGAAAGAAGAGCCTCAGTTCCCTACACCCCAGTTCCTGTCCCTGTGAAGCCTGGCTAGCCTTTATTTCACAACCTAAGGTGGTCCATGAGATTGCTCCCTGTACAATGAGACCATCTTAACTTGAGCTGGTTTGAGTGGGTACTGGTCCTTATAACCAAAAGCCCTGCTTAAAATTAATTTAAACTATAGCTTAAATATAAAACTAGAGGTCCTAGGCTTAAGGATAAGTAGATGTGCAAGATCTCTGGGAAAGAAGAATCTTCAACTACCAACAGTTTGGTCTGGAGGGTGCTGCCATCACCTAGGGTAATATGAACCCAAGGGCTGGAGTCTGCCATAGGAAACAGACAAGGCCAGGTATAGCCAACGGCTTTGCTCCTGTAGAGAACTGTCACTCGGTCTGGGGAGGTCAAAAGAGAGAAAAAACATTAGAAGGCAGGACACAACTAAACCTAAAGCAAAGTCCCAGAACAGCAATGTCTTGTCATTTATTACCAAATAAGATCTAAAAAAATACATAACCAGTGCTATGGTCTGGGAGTTGATAAATGACAGAAGCCACAGATGACTAAAGGCCAAAAAAAAAAAAAAGAAGGCACTTCAGCTCTCAGTGAATTCTCACTTGAGGCATCATGCTTTCTTCCCATCCTCATGCTCCTCTGTTATTTTCACTCTACACCTAAATGAGCCAATATGCCAATATGTACTTTTAATTTTCAGAGTAGACAAGTGGGAATACCATAGGCTGAAACAAATCCTACACTGCGTAAGATTTTTCTTTCCACTGGAAATCATTTTATTTTTCTGGTCATAAAAAATATGTTCACTTCAAAAACATCAAGTTGTATACATTTATAGTATCTGCAGCTTTTTTCTATCTATGTTATGGGATGGCTTTCTGTTACTAAATATTAGATAATAGATATAAATTATCTTTAAAAGCTGTACGGTGGCTCATTATATGAATGAACTACTATTCCATATCAAAAAGCATTTAAGTGGCTTTCAAATTTTCTCTCTCCAGAACACTAAGATATCTGCAAATCATATCTCTGATAAATTTATATCCAGAATATATAAAAAACACCTTTAACTCAAAACAAAGACAAACAATTCAACTTAAAAACAGGCACAATATATAAAAAACACCTTTAACTCAAAACACAGACAAATAATTCAACTTAAAAACAGGCACGTGATTTTGTACAGACAGTTCTCCAAAGAAAACACATAAATGGTCAATAAGGACATGAAAAGACACTTCGCACCATTAGTCATTAGGGAAATGCCATCAAAACTATCATAAGGGCTGAATGTAGTGGCTGACACTTGTAATCCTAGCACTTTGGGAGGCTAAGGCAGGAGGAATGCTTGAGTCCAGGAATTCAGCCTAGGAAACATAGCAAGAGCTTGTCTTTATGAAATTAAAAAATCAGCTGGGTGTCACGGCATGTACCTATAGTCCCAGCTACATAAGAGGTGGGGCAGGAGAACTGCCTGAGCCCAGGAGGTTGAGGCTGTGGTGAGCTGTGACGGGGCACTGCATTCTAACCGGTGGTCAGATTGAGACACTGACTCAAAAAACCAGAAAACAAAAGGAAAAACAAAAACAAACACCAGAATCATCAAGAGATACCACTTCAGACTCACTAGAATGGCTATAACTTTAAAAAGAAAATTAAGTGCTGGCAAGGATGTGGAGAAACTTATATACTGGTGGGAAAGTGAGATGGTACAGACTCTTTAGAAAACAGTTTGCTTCTGAAAATGTTAAATTTAAAATTATTGAATGACCCAACAATGCAACTTGTAAGTATCCAGCCAGGATAAATAAAGATATATGTCCGCACAAAAACTTGTACATGAATATGCATAACATTATTCACAGTCACCAAAGAGTGGGAATAACCCAAATGTCCACCAACTGATTGAATGGATAAAACAAAATTTGATATATCCGCACAATGGAAAACTATTCATAATAAAAAGGGATCAAGCACTGATACATGCTACAATATGGATAAATCTCAAAAATATTAAGCTCAGTCAGGTGCAGTGGTTCATGCCTACAATTCCAGCACTTTGGGAGGTGGAGGCAAGAGGACTGTCTGAACCAGGGGTTCCAGATCAGCCCGGGCAACTTGGCAAGGACTTGTCTCTACAAAAAATTAACTGGGCATGTGGTGCGCGCCTGTAGTTCCAACTATTTGGAAGGCTGAGGTGGAAGGATCGCCTGAGTCCAGCACGTTGAGGCTCCAGTGACCATGAGCTGCCACTGCACTCCAACCTGGGTGACAGGAAGACTCCAACTCAAAAAAAAAAAAAATTAAGCTCAGTGAGAGAAGTCGGACACAGATGAATACATATTGTATGATTCCATTAATATGAATATTTCAGAACAGGCAAATCTAGAAAAGACAGAAAGCAAATTAGTGGCTGTCAGGGGTTAGGGGTGGGAATTGAGAATGAGTTTCCTTTTGAGAGAATGGGAATGTTCTAAAATGGTATTTTGGTGATGGTTGTACAACTCTATAGAAATAACTGAACTATACACTTAAAATGGGTGAATTTTATGGTATATATATATTGTATCTGAATAAAGGTGTTTAAGAAAAGGAACAACCCTTAGATAACCAGCAGAGGATGTCTTCATAGTGGAACTTTTTTTTTTTTTGAGTAGGAGTCTCACTCTGTCACCCAGGCTGGAGTGCAGTGGCATGCTCATGGCCACTGCAGCCTCAACCCACTGGGCTCAGGTGATCCTTCTGTCTCAGCCTTCCAAGTAGCTAGAACTATGGACATGCACCACCACACCTGGCTAATTTTTCTTCATTTATTGTAGAGACGAGGTCTTGCCAAGTTGCCCAGGCTGGTCTCGAACCCCTGGGCTCAGGCAATCCTCTCGCCTCAGCCTCCAAAAGTCCTGGGATTACAGGCATGCATGAGCCACTGCGCCCGGCCGGTGGAACTTCACTCTCTAAAAGGGAACTTTTCCTCCAGGAAGCCCTAAAGCAGTTCCCTCTTCAGTTAATGGAAGATGAAAGATGGGCATCTCACCAGACACAGCCTCCAGCTGCTTAGTGAGAGCATGCATGATGACATCATTCTCCACAATATAGCCCATGTCATCTAAATTATCCTTATCAAACATTATCAAGGCCTCTGAGCAGGCATCCCACACCTGGAAACACAAAAGTAAGGTATGCATTAGAACCAAGAAGGAATATTATTCCAATCAGAAACTAAAACTGATTTCCAAGTGGCAGAAGCAGACAATCACAATTTGTTAGCCTCTGTAGCAGAAGACATAAAGTAAGAAGAAAATTCCTCTGGAAATGCTCCTTCCCACTTCCTTGAACTGAATATGAACTTTTTCTGATCCTCCCACATTACCAGCCCTTTGCACTCCTCTGAGGGGACATTGTAAATCTAGCAAACTACTCAGATGTCCCTTCTCAGGGAACACAAAGAGATATCTGGTGATTATAGGACAAACTTATATGTGGGAGGAAAAAAACAAGACTGCATGTCTGCTTGACCGAAAAAACACCAGGTGGAAGATGTCAAACAAATGACTATTGTACAACACATATCAATTAACTTGCAATGCATGTTGATGATTATTTCATACATTACCACACATCAGAAAAATATGAGATCTAAAATTTTGGGTTTTTTGGTCATAATTAAGTTTTTCAAGGTCCAAAATTCCATTATAATCCAAACATCATTGTAATAAAATAATTGGTTCCAGTGCTATACTATTGAATATTGAAATGGTTTATTTTTCACTATTTCTTTTTTTTTTGTTTTTTTTGTTTTGAGTTGGAGTCTCACTCTGTCGCCCAGACTGGAGTG